ACGCCACCTTGTGTTTTCACTCAAGCTGTTCTCTGTGGCCTGCCCAGCCTGCAAGAGATGAAGGAAAGGAGGCTGGCAAGCTGGTGCTGTCACAGATCACAGCCTGTCCCATGCTTCACTTCAGGCTTCTTGGTGGTTTTTAAGTTACCAAGAGGGCTGCAAACCTAGGCCAATGTGCTTGTTGTTGGCTTGCTGGCTGCACACCCACACAACTCAGACAATGAAGCCCACAGATGAATACAGAGATAGGGATGCCAAAGGTGGAATAAAAGTTGCAAACGGTGGCCCTGCCTTGGAGACACGACTTGGAGAGACTGTCTTCTATTAGGGAAAATAAGAAAAGAAGCTTAAGAGGAACAGAATACCTTCTTCCACCCTCTGCAAGTTCTTCAGTACCTGAAGAAAGGGACAGGCTCCAAGAGACTGGACACAAAAATATTGCTCCAGAGGCAAAAAAGAAAGAAAGGGGGTCAGGAATGGCATCACATGGAAGGCTCAAAACGCAGCCGTGCATTGAAGGAGAAACCTGGGAGGAAGCAGAGCAGAAAGCTGCAGGCAGGTGTGAGGCACAGGCAGGTCTGGAGGAGAAGGATTGTCTCTCCACAGCACCCACAGACATGTCCCAGCAGCAAGGTGCAGGCCATGACTTTGCACCAGGTCCTGAACAGGCACAGACGGGCCCCTGCTCCAGGCCCAGCCCCTGCACAGCTTCCATGTGAAGCACCTCTGGCAACACAAGCCACAAAGGGCTTGTGAAGGGCTTGTGAAGTCCCTGCTCATCCTCCCTCTCCAGATGAGATGGAGGGACACAGGAAGACAAGGTAGTATCGTCCTCACCAAAGCTGCTGCCCCTTTTCTGTTCCCTGGTTCCTTCTTCAGCTCCCTGATGGCTGAGTACAAGGTAAAGCTGCACAACCAGCAGCTGCTGGAAAGGGCCCAGCTACACTGTTCTTGCCTTCCCTCTCAAACATTCTTAATAAAGTTCTTGGCTGCCAGCTTACTCTAGGAAAAACAACTGGTGGGCAGCTATGCCTGAGCCACCCAAACCAGCACAGAGCCTGCACAAGCCAGTAACACAATAACCCAGGGAACAGAGCAGCTCCCCAAGAGCTCTCCCTCTGGGTGAAGGACCTGTCCCCCCAGCCAATACAGGCCCCCAGGACTACTGCACTCCAGGAAAAGTCAGCAGGCCCCTTACCCCAGGAGTGCTCCTGCCCACGTCTCCAGCACCACCCGCGTGGCCCGTGGAGCAGCACACCTCCAGCAGGTGATGGGATGTGCCTGCAGACTGTGCTGGGGTCTGCACCTCCCACCACTGCCACTCTGCCCTTCTCCCTGCAGGCACGGAGCCCGTCCCACCACAGCCTCTGCAGAAGGGACAGTCTTCCAAGCTAAGTAACACAGACCCTTAAAAAACCACAAGCAGAGGGGAGAGACCCCCTGGGCTGGCACCCAGGACTGAGACCACCAGCTGTCTGAGGAAGACAAAGACAGTTCTCAGGGTAAGCCTGTGACTTCTGATCTAACACTTAAGTGCCCTCTGGGACTCCAGAGGAGCGAGAGGAGCCTGCGTAAGGGATGAGGAGGTGGGAGCTTTGTCTGAAGGCAAAAGTGGATGGCACGAAAATGCCATGGAGCAGGCTGGGACAACAGGGGACAATTAAACAAAAACTGAGCTCTTATCCTCCAGCCAGGACTTGGGACCTGGTGCTGACTCTGCCAACGCACTGGGGCAGCAGGGCAGGGGAGGAGAAGCTCTCTGCAGAGGCCTGGCAGTGCCTGGGCTCCTCTGCCTGCACCCCTCCCCAGCCTCCCAGGGCTGAGCAGCTCTCCACCCTGCCCACAGAGGCTTCTCCCAGCCTGGTTCAGCACAGCAAACCAGGAAGGCTCTCTGGGCAATGCAGGGGCCAAGGGGTGGCTCAAGAGAAGAGGCAGCTTTCAGCCTTCCCTGGCATTCATGTCCCATCTGGAAACTGAAAGGGGATGGGTGAGAGGCAGCGGGACGTCCCCGCAGCACACAAAGAACGGACAGGTCCCTGGGAAAGTTTAAACCAAGACCCAGGTTATAGAGGATAACAACTAGAACTGCTAAAACGTGTGGCAGGCAACCACAAAGCCAGGCTCTGAGCAACGTCTAGACTCAGCACCAAATTGTATTGATTTTCCCACAAGATATAAGGTGCAATGAAGCAGAAACCTGGAGCAGATGAGCACGTAGAGCCAGCGTAAGTGGATGGCTGTAATTACAGCTATTAACAGGGACAGAGTCCGCCAGGCTTTGTGCCAAACAGTGCCCAGTACTGGGGTGGGATTACAAGAGAAGCTGCCTCCAGACTAGTTTCTAAGGTACATCTTCTGCCAGGTCTTCTTGGTGCTGAAAGGAGCAAACTCTCCCAGGACCCATCACACTACAGCAGGCTGCAGCTGCCTGGCTCTCTGCTGCAACAGCCCAAGGAAGGACAAACCCAGATCCTGCCACTGAGCTGCAGGAGGTGGGACACCCAGTGCTAAGGCTGGGGGGGGTGGCCATGCATGAGCAGGAACAGCACCCTCCTTGTTGTATGGCCGGGCCAAGGGGCTGCAAACAAGCCAAGGGACTGATCAGAGACATCACTGGGTGGGGTAGAGCTTGGGAACTAAATTCAGGCAACATGACTTCCCATCTGGGATCTTCACGTGAGACAAAAAGCTTCCAGTACAGGTTCTGGATGGGAAAGCCGTTGGTCTCCTGCTGGGTCTTTGTGTTGGGCTGCCAGAGCTGGCAGCTCCCCCCAGCCCAGCCTCCCTGGCAGGGTACATCAAGCAGGAAAGGCTGGAGTGCTGTGAGATGTGCCCAGCTCCCCAATTATCCTAATGAAATCACAAGTGGGTCAGGGGCAGAGGCAGCCAGCAGAGGCAGCTGCTCTGACGCACGGACGCAGGTAGGGCTGGGGGCAGAGGCCCAGGCTGAGCACCACTGCTGCCCACCCAAAGCCCACCGACAAGAAACGAGGAAGCCACGGGTATAAGGTGGCCTTGCACATCACTTCAGAGAAGAGCCAGTCCCAAACTGAGCAGCACCAGCGCTCATTGGGCCAAAAAAAACAAAAAACTGCACCCTAGGGTCCAGGAGTGAAGTCCCCCTGTGAGATTTCCATCCTCCTGTCCCTCTCCATCCCTCCCTGTTCCTCCCAAACGACTGCTGGCAGGGAAAAATTAGGAAGCTGGTTTCAGGAAACGCATCCAAGACATTTTCACCGAGAAGAATTTGCAATGGAAATAGGTCTGGCTGCTCAGCTTCCTGCTTGCTTTAAACCCCAACACCCAGGTATTTTTACAGAAAATAAATGGCTGAACGATTGGACTCAATGATCTTAAAGGTCCTTTCCAACCACAGCAACTCTGTGATTCTGTAAATGGATAAGGAAAGAGGGTATTTGCAGCTGGGAATTTTCAGGAATTGTTTTGATAATGTGTTTTGGTGGGTTTTTTACCTTTCTTTTCTGTTAACATTTAATGGGTAGAAGACTTTTAAAAAGGACAGATTTTGGAGCAAAACAATTTTGCAAGAGTACTGGTGAGCTCTGGTCTCCAGAACGACATGGTGTGTACAGCACGTGTCCTGCCACACCACAGCTCCTGCAGCAGGGGGGCCCAGGCAGCCACCCAGCCACACTGGGATGGGCTGGGAAGAGGTGGAAGCTGCTGCAGAGCAGCCAAACGAGCACCCTGGGACAGCAGGAGCCCAGCCAGCTCCTGCCCACTCAGCACCCACCCTCTGGATGGCTACCAGCCCCACAGAGAAACAGGGTCCTCTTGCCTGGGGAGGGCTCAAGTACCCCTAGAAGGAGAAGAAACAGAGGAGTGAGAGGGGACAGCCAGTTCAGGCTGGGCTGGGCTTGGACAGGAGCCCTTTGGTTTGTACCAACCTGGCTGCTCCAGCTTCCCTGGACAGCAGCCAGGGTCCTGTACCAGGAAGGGAAAGGCAGAGTCACCCCTGTCCAGCCCCTCTGACATGTCATGGAGCACTAACCCTAACTCCTCCAAAGCTTTATCTTTCCCAGGGGAAGGTGGCACAACAGCTCTCCTCCCCCCGTTTTCCAGGCCGGGGTGCAGCAGTGGCACCCCCAGGGGCTGGCTGTGGGAGGGACAGGCCCTTGGCACCAGGGAAGGATGAGTCCCCTCCCTGCCTGGCCACTCCCAGTGGGACTCCCATAAGCTGCTCATACAGTTCGTTCTGAGACACAGCTCAAAGAAACAGCTTAAGTGGCCCCCAAGAGCCAAAATCAGATACTTCCAGAGTGTCTCCTTTATTAGGAAGGCATTTAGTTCCCAGGATCAGAGGTAACGAGCACCCTCCTGCACTCGTCCAGCCCCTGCAGCACCTTTGCCAGCATCATTTACCGACCTGGCTGCTGCAGCACCGGCCAGCTGGAGCCCAGAGGGATGGGGACAGTGAGTGTGGCTGGCAGAGAGGCCTGGAGCAGACCTCCAAACCCACCCCTGCCACAGCCAAGGTGAAGGAATTCGTCGTGACCAGGTCTGAAGCCAGGCAGAGCCAACTCACACACCACGTGTGTGATACTGAGCAACCAGCACTCAGCACTGCCAGGCACAGAGAGGGCCAAGGGTTTAAGTCTGGAGCAGCAGATCTGATCCAGTATTCTCCTTGGATAGGACGAGAAGAAATGGCTGTTTAGATTGGACACTGGGAAAAATTTCCTCCCTGAAAGGGCTGCCAATCCCTGAACAGGCTGCCCAGGACAGTGGTGGAGTTCCCATCCCTGGAGAGGTTTAAAAGCCATGGAGCTGTGCTGCTGAGGGACACAGTTTAGCAGTAGACTTGGTCAAGTTAGGTTAATAGTTGGACTTGATGATCTTAAAGGTCTTTTCCAACTTAAACAACTCTATGATTTTTTTAAGTTTTAAGAATTTTTTAAGATTATCCAAACCTCACCTTGCTGCTCATGGTAAATCTCAGCCATCATCAGCTCATCACTGTGATGCTCATGTCCCTCCCTCTGCAGCAGTCTGGATTTCAAGACATTCTGAGCACTGCTGCTGCTGTGGGTGGGTTGTTCAAAGGCATCCCTGTCACAGCACCGAGCTGCTCCAAGTAAGACTGAAGAGCAGAGGCTACAGCTCTCCAGACTGAAAGGGGAAGAATCTCCATCCTCTGGCCTGGAGTGACACGGGGACCCTGCACAGGGAGCCAGGGTCAGAGTGTGGGGAAGGGGACGTGCTCCTCCAGCCCCCGCAGCCCCCACGCAGCTTCCCCGTTCCCACCCCCGGGAAGACAGGTCCTAGCAGGGCAAGGAACTGGTAACACACCCTGCAAGGAGGACCCCCAGCAACCAGTGCCCTGCTGGCGGTGGCACAGGAAGCTCCTGGGACAGCTGGGGGTTTCTGCTGCTCCAGAGCTGAGCTCCAGCACTGTGCTCCTCAGCAGTGGCTGTGGCTGGCTGGGCAGGGGGCAGGAGCTCAACGCCTCCTCCACCACCTCTGAGAGCCTCCAGCATCTGCTGGCAGACCTGCACAGCCAGCAGAGGCAGGGGGGGGGTG